AATTATTCTGTTATACCACCATCTCATTAGACTACTATAAATATATGAGTTTTTTAAAATTAATTTAACAATATATAATAAATAAACTAAAACATTATTATATTTATTTTTTACTTAAAGGTAAAGATCTTTTATGGTCATCCCATAAGATTTTGCATAATGGTTTTAAACTCTCTATATAACTTAGGGCTTCCAGCTAGGGTTATCTAGAGTCTATTTTCTCTCAAAGGCTTTATATCTACCACCCTTACAGCATATTTTTTTTTATCAAGTGTGTTTATAAGTTTGCCCAACTCAGTATATGTTACAACAGTGACAGATTTTTTAACTCATAAACGCATACCAAAGCCTCGAAAAGCTTCGTACTTAATTTGAAATAAATATAAACTAGGTATAGAAAGCCCTAAAAGGATATGCGGCTGGAATCATTTTAAATCTCACAAGAGCCCTAAAAACCGAGGCATGGATGTGGCTGAGGAGGCGCGGGCCGAGCTTCGCCCATTTCTCCAGCCGCGTGCGTCGTCGCGTGGATCATATCCTCCGCCAGTCGCGGGAGAATCGCAAGCGAGGCATTCGCAGGGCGCGGGATCCGGGCAAGCAAAATCCGCCATGGTACGCGCGCGATCCAGCGCAGCTCCGCAGGGAACGGCAAGCGCGCGTCACACGTAACCAGGTGGAGCTGATCTCGCGATCCAGGCGCGCGAGCGATGTTGCACGGGCGCTGGATTCCGCCAAGAGGGCTGGCGTGATCAACGACAGGAATCTGCGGGATTTGGTGGTGGAGAAGTGCAGCAAGCTCGGATGCATCGAGGAATCGCGACCAATGCTGGAATCGTGGCTGAGGAAGAACACGTTCTCGTGGAGCGTGGTGATCGCAGCATTTTCCCAGAGCGGGGATTTTGCTAAGGCATTGCAAGCGTTTCGAGAGATGGCGGTGGAAGGGATCAAGCCCAGCAGCTTCACGCTCTGCGCAGTCGTGGAGGCTTGCGGCGAGATCGGCACCACTGCGATCGTCCGAGTGATCCACGAATCCGTGGAGCTGGGGGAGTTTTCAGTGAAGGAACGCTTCTGGGATGGATTGATTGCGGCGTATGGAAAGATGGGCAGTGTGGAAGACGCGAGGAGAACTTTCGAGGGAATCGAAGAGAAGAGCTTGGAGTCTTGGAACGCCGCCATAGCTGCGTGTGCTCAAGGTGGCGACTCCAGCAATCCTTCGCAAGCTCTGGAGTTTCTCACGAGAATGGATTTGGAAGGAGTTCACCCGAACAGGGAAACTTTCTTCCAGATCTTTTGCTCGTTCCAAGGCCGGATAGAGTTCCTGGAACTTGGGAGGAACATTTACAGAGAGTGCTGTGAGCTCGGTCTCAAAGGAGACGTGAGAATCAGCAGCGCATTGATCAAGATGTTCTCCAAGTGTGGAAGCCTCCGCGACGCAAGGATGGTTTTTGAGGAGATTCCCTGCGTGGATTCGTCGTGCTCCACAGCCATGATCGTCGAGTACGTCGCGCATGGCGTCAACGAGGCCGCGTTGAGCCTTTTCAAGCGATTGGTGGGCGAGAATCGGTGTGAAGAAGGAGACTGTCCGCCAGTTTTTGCTGCTGCGATCAATGCTTGCACAGCCATGGGCGATTTCTCGCAGGGAAGAAAACTCCACGAGCAGTTTGTGGAGAAAGATCTGGGGCTGGACGCGGTGATCAAGACGGCGCTGGTGGCCATGTATGGGAAGCGTGGAGATCTGGCCAAAGCAGCGGAGGTTTTCCTAGCTCACGCTCTCTCGATCCAAGACGAGGGCTCCTGGAACTCGCTCATGGAAGCGCACGCAAGAGCCGGGCATCTCAGGCAAGTCCTGGAGCTTCTCCGGAGGATGGATTGGAACGGGATGATCCCGGACGGAGGAACGATGCTCAACGTTTTGGTCGCGATCAGGCACCACTCCGCCGGATCATCGCTCGTCAAGCGATGCCGCGAGTACTTCCGATCCATCACTGCGGACAGATGGATAGAACATACCGCGGAGCACTATGAGTGCGTGATCGACATCCTTGCGCGGAAAGGCTTCGCGAAAGAGGCCAAGGAGCTGATCGAAAACATGCCGTATGAGCCGAGGCCCGTGATGTGGAAACTGTTTAGCGAGTGATGGTCGAAGGGTCAAAAAGGTCAAAAGGTCAACTGTCAATGGTGGTCAATGGTCAATATTTAGGGCTTTGGGTTTATATGTAAAGTTCATAATTGGTCAACGGTCATAGTTATTTTCAGAAAAAAGCAATGAAAAAATAAAATGGGAAAATGCACCCTCGTGATCTCCTGGACGACCTTGCTCGCCACTTGCAAGCTCGGATCGAGCGGCTGCCATAGCTCGAGCTATCGGCTCTTCCCATCGTGTCTACTTGATCTATACTCTACTCTCGAAGTTCTCGATCGATCAAGTTCTCTAGCAGGAAACTTAGTTGTGATGTTATAAGAGAGAGAGAGAGAGAGAGGAGGAGTGTTCTCTACGCTACTCTTTCCTCGATGGATTGGATCGCCATGGCTGGATGGCTCACTGTTCTTCCTTGGGCCAGAAAGTGGTCGCTTTGCCCGTCTTGGACACCGTCTGGAGCACGTCTTCCGCCTTGACATTGCCCTTGACGGTTACCTTTTGCTCCTTGAGATCCACATCGAAAGACTCCACTCCTACCAGGAAATCCACCGCCAAGAACACCAGGGACTCGCTATAAGTCGCTAAGCAAAAATCGAGCCCAAAATCTACCTTGCATTTTGCCCAGAACCCTCTTCACGGCACCCACGCATCCCTCGCAAGTCATGGCGACCTTGAGCTCCACGATCTGCCAAGAACAATCGGAAAAAATTCACGCGCGCCACTCGCAAGAACGCGCTTGCTTACCTCCGCCATAGACACAAAACCTAGATCGAATAGAAATCAAAGAACTCTTTTATAAAGTTACACCGACGGTGTAGATCGGCTCCTACAAACTGGGACGCAATCGTGGACGTCCACCCTTCCTTCTTCCTTGTTCTTTGTCCTCTCGGCGCCCAAGATCTTCCCTGGAAGAATCGCTATACTTCCTTCTCTTCCTCGCTTGCTCTTCCTCCTCCTGCGGTAGATCATCGACCTCCACCACCCTGTAGATGTGAACCCGAATCACTGGATTACACTGGGTGCGATCCACGCGCTCGAAGATCACCACGTCGCCCTCCTCGAGCCTGTGATCCAGCGCGAACTTCTTCCAGCCGCCACTGATCCCCGGCCTGGGCAGATACCTTGCCGGCCACTCCGCCCCGCTCGAATCCACGAGCACAATGCTACAGATCTGCGATGGCAAGTGCTGCCGCGCGAACTGGTGGTTCATTCCCTGTGGAACTTAGAAACTTAGCGCGCGAGAAAAGCTTTCGATCGAGCGAGCACGAGCTTACCATCCAGAAGCCGCGGTAGACGTGCGATTTGTTCATCTTGTTCATGGTGAATGGATTCGTGGACGTGAACTGCCGAGCTCGCTCCAGGGCTCTCTCGCGCTCGGCATCAGTCACGGCTCGCCGCCGTGACAAAGGCTTCTCCTCCGATTGTTCTTCGCTGTTCTTCTTCCTCGTCCTGGTGCTAGCAACCACCACTGCTTTGCTCGTGGATGCTTTCGCTGGTGGTGGTGGCCGCGATGGTGGTGGTGTCTGGCTTGCAATCCGGGAAGAACTTCTCCACCTAGTTCTTCCATCTTCTTCACGGGATGGTGGCGCCTGGCTTGGAATCCGGGAAGAACTTCTCCGCCTAGTTGTTCCATCTCCTTCATGGGATGGTTGCCTTGGCGGTGGTGTCTGGCTTGCAATCCGGGAAGAACTTCTCCGCGTAGTTCTTCCATCTTCTTCATGCGATGCTTGCCTTGGTGGTGTCTGGCTTGCAGCAATCCGGGAAGAACTTCTCCGCCTAGTTCTTCCATCTTCTTCTTGAGATGGTTGCCTTCGTGGTGGTGTTTGTCTTGCAATCTGGGAAGAACTTCTGGGCCTAGTTCTTCCATCTTCTGCACTGCCAGTTCCATCTTTCTCCACGGCTGTAGCTTCCAGACACTGCCCATCTCTTTCTTGCGCTTCCCTGGATCCCGCATTGAAGAAGCTCGCCATGAATCTCCCTGGAAGCTTGTTCACCCGGCTCTTGGAACCAAAGATCTCCACCTGGAACACCGATTCTTGGACGAGCCTCACCACAAGAAGATCCCCAGCCTTCAATCCATAGGCCAGCGCGAAGGTCTCCCACCCTCCCCTCATCCCAATGCGGCTCAAGCTCGGCCCGCCCAGCGTCACGCCCCAGGCGGCGCCATCCGGCCCGCGAATCCGGCACTCTTTGGCGAATCCATCCGCGTAGAGCTGGACGAAGCGCTGGGGTATCGGCTGCAAGGCATCCCTGTGAGACCCTAGCTCGCAGGATAGAAAGATTTCTAGCAAGGCTTGCGAGCTTACCAGCCACGGATCGCGCTCGCCGATGGAATCCTCGCCAAGAACACTCGCAAACGCTGGTCGATCGGACAAGCGCTCCATCTCTTCCGCGCCGCCGCCGCCCTTCTCTCTCTTGCTCGTCTAGTTGTCCTTGTTCCTTCCCGCTTAATTCCAACGGGCACGATTCCCATGTCATAAGAAAACGACAGAATTCCCCCCCATAGTCCATGTCATATACCTGCCGTTCCCATGTCATAAAAATGATAGAATTTCGGACCGTTTGCCGCTCCCATGTTCCCGCCCCCATGTCATATCATTCGTCCGGGAAAAAGTGCCAGCTCATGTCATTGAAGGCGTACATAAAGTCCACGTCATCCACCGGAAGCTCGACTGCCCGGGGCTGGATAGCCAGGAGATGATCCGGGCGCGAGCCTTTCTGGTTGGGATAGATCGTCCATCTCTCCATGTAGCTCGCGAAGCTATTGCCCAGGATCGCGATCTTGCCCAGCGATCCCCAATTCGCCTTGACGACGTTGTCGTAGAGGTGTGATTCGCAGTGGGGCATGAAGAACAGCGTCGGCTCCTCCACCTTCCGGAGCCCCAGCTCGTTGGAATCGATCGCGCGGCACTCGAGTTGCCGCAGGATCCTCCACTCGCACGCCGTGAGCACCGGATCAAACACCCAGATCAAGCAATCCTCGGGCAGGACGCGATCCTGCCTGAGTAGCAGCACCAGCGCGAGCTGGAGCCGCGAGCTCTCCGACCTGGAGATCCTCCCCAGCCCATACACCACCAGATTCTCCACGCCCATCGCTGCCAGGGACTCCCCAACGCTGGCCCCGACCTGCGCTAGAAATCTCTTGTAGAAATCGGAGCTCCTGATCCTATCCATCCTCACCAGAATCGCGTGGATGGCCTTGCGAAACTCCTCCACCGTGAGCTCCTGGTCGTCATCGTCCATCAGCCTGGGCTTCTTGCTGGAACCCCGCCGCGACGACGAGCGCTCCACCACAATCCAGCCCTCGCCCATCAAGAACCCTAAAAAATGGGACACTCACATTCTTCCTTTATAGCTCAAGAGCCCTAAAGAACGACCTTTTGGCAACTGGGTTTAAAGTTTAGTTAGGGAGGGCGAGGAGGAGCTTCCTATCGGCAAATGGATCGCGCACCTTCCATCGCGATTCTACTCGAAGCAATGCAAGCGCAAGCTGGAAGAGATGCTGGCGGAAGAATCGTATTTCACGGTGGGGGATGCGAAGGGCCCGGAAAAGAATGCGGCTCCGGATGGACATGACCGCGGTGGGGTTCTTCCTCGACTCACTCGCGCAGCCTCTCTTTAAAAAAGTCCTTTGATTTGTCAAACTTCATCACTAGAAGATTAAGTAAAGTGGCAAAGTGTTTTCTAGCTCCTTGGATTGGGTGGCACTTCGTTAAAAAACTCCATCACATGGAGAAATGTGAAGGAGGAGTTTCTAATAACAAAGTAGATAGAACTCCCACTCAAAACAGAATACAAACAACTCAGTCAATAATTTTGCAGAAGTTTACTATCATCTGATGAAGGTCTCTTTTATAGATCAAGTATCCTGGACATAGAAATTCGCGATTGAAACGACTACGTTCTGGGAGGAGCCGATTTCCCTAGCTATTGCGGCAGCTCGATTACTGTCCTTGTGGAGCTTGCAAGCGGTCAGCAGGGTCGTCCAGGAGATCACGTCAGGATAGAAGGGCATGGCGAGGAGGAGGTCGTGGGCATCACCCAACTTGCCAGTGCGGGCTAGGAGATCGATCACGCAGGAGTAGTGCTTGTATCCCGGCTCCACGCTGTGATCAGCGCTCATGGCCAGGAAGAACTCGATCCCATCGCGGAGTGTCCCTCCATGGCTGAGTCCTGCGAGGAGATTGACGTGCGTCGCAGCGCTCTTTGCGATTCCTTCTAGATCCATTTGCCAGAAGAGATCGAGCGCTTGCACCAGATGCCCGTTCTTGGCATAAGCTGCAAGCATTGCGTTCCAAAAGATTAAATCACGGGAATTGCAATTATCAAAGATCGATCGAGCTAGTTCTGGATCGCCACACTTGCCATACATTGTGATCAAGGATGTAGAGATTTGGAGTCGCGAGTCTAGCCCCCATTGCTGGATGCTCGAGTGGAGGAGCTTCCCTTCGGCAATTGCCGTGAGCCCCGCACAAGCTTCCAATCCGCCCAGGAACGTGATCTCGTCCGGCTCGATCCCTTCCAGATCCATGCTCGCGAGAAATTCCATGGATCGCCGGTGATCGCCCAGTTGCGAGAACGCCACAATCATCGTGTTCCAGGACGCTCGGTCTCTTTGATTCATCCGGTTAAAAGCCTGTAGCGCAAGATCCAAATGCCCGTTCGTGGCAAGTGCTGCTATGATCGTGTTCCACGACACAAGATCGCGGTGGATCATCCCATCAAAGACCCTCTTCGCGTCCCTTACGCTAGCGCATCGCGAATACATCTTGATGAGCGAATTCGCGAGTGGGAGCTCGGATCTATCCAGCCCGAGGCTGACAATCCGAGCGTGGATTTGCCGTCCCCGCGAGAGGGATTGGAGCTGGGCGCATGCCTCGATCGCGCCCAAGAGCGTGATTCCATCGCCCACAATCCCTTCTAGATCCATGATCTCGAAGAGATGCAGGGCTCTTCGCGGATGCCCTTGCTGGGCATATGCGGTGATGATCGTGTTCCACGCCACGATCTCGATCACGGGCATCGAATGGAGCGCCGACTGCGCTCGATCGAGATCACCGCTTCGCGCGAGCGCGGCGATAAGATTCGTCCACGAGTAGATGTTTGTGTGGCGGATCCTGTGGAATGCCTGGATCGCGTCTTCTGTTCTTCCACACTTCCCATACATGAGGATTATCAAATTGCCCAGGAATGTCTGGCGATCCTCGCCGGATTGGACGAGCTGCCGGTGGATTTCCCTCCCGCGAGCTAGATCTCGCGAGTCGCCACACTGCCGGAGGAGTAGAGAGGATTCTAGCACGGAGCTCATAGCTCAATCGATCGAGAGGATCGATCGAGCAAAGAATAGAATGGCTTTATAGCGATGGGGCTGGTTTGATCTGGAGCTGCGAATTCAGTGCTGCCAGGGAGTGGAAGAAGAGATTGGTGACCTTGATGCCAAAGACGTTGAGCGATTGGAGGCTTGGGCATCCTCGCGCGAGGTGGAGGAGCCCTTTCTCCGTCACGAATTTGCATCCCCACACATTGAGCGCCTGGAAGGAAGAAGAGGATCCATGGATCATGGAATGGATAGATCGCAAATCTGGTAGAATGAATTCCACGGACCTTGAGAGAGCGGCAATGCGTGGCGATGGCGAGGAGGGACGCGTCGGTGATGAAAGTGCCACCCACATTGAGATTCTCGAGCGATTTGGCTCGAAAGACCTGGAAGGACGAAGATCGATTGGATGAGAAGCGTGGATTTCCAGCTTACCAGCGCCGCGACGCCTTGATCAGTGATTGCCGTGACACCCCACAAGGAAATCGAGCGGAGATTGGGGCAGCAGCTAGAATCCGCGATGGCAACGAGCGCAATGTCTGTGATCTGGCAGCCCCAAGTTCCAGCGGACCTGGAATGGAAAGAATTAGAGCCCGAGAGAGAAGAGATCAGAACCTACATGTCGAGATCCAAGAGATTGAGCGCTTGATTCACAAGATTGGCGACCGAGACATCGTCGACACGGCATCCCGCGAAGCTCAATCGCTTGCGATATGCCAGCGATTGCCGCATGGCGCTCCTCCATTTCTTGCACACGAGATTCACCCTGCCCAAAATTAGGGTTCTTCCGCAAATAAAGGGGGCTAAAAAGAAAGGGGAAAAAAAACGAGATACCGTGCTTACATGGCCATGTCCCGGAAGGAAGATAACTGTAACAAGCAATGCGCCAGGAGATCCACTGGAAGAATCTCATCGCGCGCAATCTCCACTCCAATCGATGAGCCCAGCTCCAGATTGGGCTTCGCGATCGCTTCCTTGTCATCGAATTGCTGCGACCGAAGGCGCAGGAGCGCTGCCGCCGCGGAATTTCTCTCCAATTCCTCCATGGCGGCGCAGAGAAAAAGAGATTGGCGATGAATCTCAAATGCGTGGGCCTTTTGCCAGCGAGGAATCTACCATTCTTCCAAGAGAGCGTCGTGTCACTCACTCTAGAGCCTCTAGATCACGCCAAAAGAGTTATCGTCATAGTGTCGCCACTAAAGTGGTGGTAAAATCAAAGAAAGTTCTCCCATTCTTTTGGAACTTTCGCGCAAAGAGAGGAATTTTTTCTTTCTTTCTTCTCTCTTTGGATCCCAAGCGCCACGAATCCTTTGAATCACAGGTAAGTTGGCGCGAGGATAAATTCTGGCGAGGATTCGCTCGTCCCGGTGGCGAAGGCAGCGTCGATCTCTTTGCGGGATCTTCCTCCGCCGCCTTTGGAGGAGGAGGAATTGGACGAGCTTGGGGAGGATGACGAGGAGGATGACGATGCCGGAGAGATCACTACGCTCGAGACGAGCTCTTCGATCTCTGGAGACGACAGGTATGCGCAGGCCGCCACGAAGTTTGTGATGTGGTACCTGACGCAGCGCAGCACGATCGTGTCATTCCATCCTAGACTTGAGAGAATTCAAGCAAATCACTCACCTCAATTCACCGGTTTGTTGATCGTCGCGCATTTGGAAGAAGTTTTCCATGTAACACGCAGTAGCTTGCAAGTGCTGGAGCTGCGAAAAAAGCAGATTTTTATCTCGTTTGGTATGGAGATTTTCGCGAGAATCTACCTTGGCGTGTGCGATCAAGAGCAGCATGAGTGACAAAAGATCGTCTGTACAGAGCTGATTCTCTGCATGGAAGGAAATACTTGGAAGTAAGCATAGAAGTTTTTCTTTCCTTGCTTTGATACCTTTGGACGAACTAGCTTGAATTCCGTCCATCACAAAGTTGATCGTTTTCTTCAAGCAGACCGCCTGGAAAAGAAAACCATTCTTCTAAATGTTTGTGACACGAAGCTTTCCGTACCTTTTCAAGGGGACTGCGACAAGTGTTGATCATTCCAAACACCTGTATTGCGTCTCCAAAAGCGATATCCTTGAGATCTGCATTTACTCCCAGTATCGAAGGATCCAGCTGGAGAAAAAAAATCCGAAAACAAAATTAAATTACAAAGTCAACATGAAATCGGGAGAATGGATTGTTCTTTTACCTGTCTGAGTTTTGATAGTTTCTGAGCTAGCTTCCTGTCATCAGCAGCGTACATTTGCTCGCAGGCGCCCATAATCTTGTCATGCGCTGCAGCCATAACCCACGTCTCACAGGCTAGCCAGAGCTGCGCAGCTTACTCAAATTAGTAGCTCTTAGAAACCACATGAAACTTACGCTCTCGGAATGGTCTTCAGACAAGTCAGAGGTCCGAGTAAGGAGTTGATCACGAAGGTTGCGCACTATGCTAAGTAGCGTTCCTCTCCACGCTTCAATCCGCAGCTAAAAAGCCATTGTCAGATTTCGTTTTTATCTTGGAATTTTTCATCCTGTACCTCGTTTGGAAGCTGGCAGTCTCCCATCTGGTAGAACCCATTGAATTGCTCGATCATCGTCATGGCGGCTTCGAACGCGTTTGTGTTTGAGTATCTCGATTTTAAAAATGCTGTACAGTCTTCACGAGTATCCAGTGCATCAGCAGGATGTTGATTATTGCCGACCTGCCAACGTAGAGCGAGCGGTCTTGTTTTACGGCTTGCCTCATCGACGCTCTTATTTTTTGATGGCGCAGAAGTTAGGGACAAAGCCCGTAAAAGACTCTGTGCTCGTTTGTGTTTCGGTGGAAGAACAATTCGTTGCTCGATCGCCGTTTTCCATACTCCGGCTTCGTGCTGATATCAGAAAAAGCAAAGTCAAGCGGCGAAAACACTGATTAAAGAACTTGCCTGGTTTGACACTAATAGAAACATCTTCTTTCCTTGGACGGTCTTGATGAAAACTATCGCACCCTCCGGCTCAGGCAAGTACTGATTCGTGCAAGAGCTCCTCCTGCTGATCCTTCGCCAAAAATGTAACTTGGAGCTGCTATTGAGGGAGGCATTGCCGGACTCCGTGGAATCCACAATCTTAACAGTGGTACCCCCATTCAGAAAAATCCTTCTCTGCAGAATCGGGTGTCAAAAATCGATGGCATCGGCGAACTAAGAAGCTGTACCTCTAGATGATCCCGCTGCTCTGATGAGAAGACTTGAAGCTTTCCTGGAGACACGGCAACAAATTGATGCTTCCACTGCATTTGGTTGCTCCATAGATACCCCCAATTTGCATGCTCTTCGCCTGTCATCGTTACCATAGCAGGCTAAGATCGGCATGGAGCTGCTGCGGCTGCTCTTGCTGCCCCTCCTGCGAAACGGCGAAAAATGTCGAGGCTGAAGCAACGCCTCTATACATACTAACTTGCCACCGCTCCCTGCACCAGAACATTAAACTTTTGCCAAAAGTGAAACAAGCAAACAAGGCATACACTCGGCAGCTCTTGATCTTTCCCAGCTCTCGAGATTATTTTAGGAGAGAGTGGCGTAGCTCATACTCTCGATCGCCAAGTGTGGTGGGTGAAAAGACACACCTAACCCCACCCTCACCTGGTGACAGAGAGCAAGTCAAAAGCATTAGTCGCTGTTTCGCTAAGATCAATAGCTAGGGGAATTCTTTTGGCGGTGTAAAGACGAAAAGGAATACGCACTCACTCACTCATCAGTCGAAAGGATCGATTCGACGGTCATGTTCAGTAGCCAGTGCCATTACTGTGCACAAACAAGTAGGACACATCGCCTGCAAGAAAAAAATGAAAAAGGATCAAAAGTGGACGGAGAAAACATCAGAAAAAGAAAGGAGACATCGGAAGTAAGAAAATAAAGTGTAGCTAGACGGAGGAGGAAGAAACTTCTACCTTCGTCACGCCAAAGCAGTTTGGACATCTCTTACGTTCCATGGATTCCGGACTCGCTACAGTTCCAGCGGCTGAGCAGCACGACAGATAGACATGAAACATTGTAAAGCAAAGCATTGTAGCAATAAAAACTATGAAAAATGAATGAAGCCTTCATTGATTGCCATACCAGTTCCATGACAATACTTGCACCTCTTCTTATCCTGCTGCCGGATGTTATTAGCTCCGACTGACCCACCCGAAAATGATGCAACGCTTGGATCGACCTGACTATAAAAATCCCAAAGACCACATCAAGCAACAGCAACAAACTCCCTGTGTCACAAACCTTAGCTGCTCGGGTAAATGTATAAATCAGTATAGGTGGGAAATCCAATCCCAAGTCTGAGCTCCAGCTTTGAAAAGGAAAACAAAAATGTAAGGAGATCATATATACAGTCTAGATTTGAAGTGCTTACAAGCTAGAAGGCCACCAAAAAGGATGACTCCACCGTACACGGCAAAGCAAGTTGCATAGTATAACTTCAACGTCGTGTATGTCTGCCATAGCCAAGCCATTGCTGAGAGGAAATAGAAAAACATAAGAAAGTGTTTGTTTACCAAAGGTGGAAGAAATCGAAACAACGATAATTACTCTGGTAGATCATTCTTCTCGTCCTCCTCTTCCAGGCCTAGCTCGGCGCCTTTCAATCGCTGCTGGATCCTCAGTCTTCTAACCTGGAAAGAAGAGGGATCGATCGATGACACACAAGAGCACAAATTCAAATACCTCCTCCATGCGCAAGACGAGTTTTCACGTCATCCCTGAGCTCCTCGAACTGCATTTTCGCGAGATCAACGACAGTGTCTCGGCTGTCGATGATGTAAAACCCGTTGTTCGAGGAGGAGGAATCATCCGTGAGCGTCGCCCTTACACTGCGGTTGAGCGGTCTCGACCTCGAAATCCACAAAACCGGACGCTCCAGACTCAAGCATCCGGAATTTCTTGCCCAAGAACCACCCAAGCTGCTTACTGCGGGAGAATGCGGGGCCGACATCGACGAGAACATCTCTCCAACCTCGCATTCCTCGCTAGACGCACCTGGAATTCTCGCGAGCCCTACAAACCCTGATTATCAGTGGGGAGAACGTAATATCCTCAAGTCTTAGGCATATTCCGTCAAAGTCCTTAAACCAAAAAAGGTACTTGACCTAAAGGCAGGATTAGTTATATTTCTTAAGGGTAGTTATATTTACAGGTTTGACCTTTTTGGAAAATCCGCGATTATGAGGCGCAGATCAGGACCGTCCAAGTGATGAAGAGTCCATGATTGGCTATGGCGTATATCATTGCTTGGCACTGCCGCCATCTAGTCTCCTCCTAACATTAGCGTGGCTTTGACCTCTCGAAGTAATGAATCAGGATCGCTTGCATCAGGAAACAATTGCTGCATTATTCAGACAAAAGAAAGGCGTGAACAAAAGAGAGCATCTACAAAAGCTACTTACCTGCAAACACATTGTATTGTTTTCTCCAACTGCATCAGGGAGATAGTAGGCGGCAATCTTTCTTCCGGAGACCATCTTTACCAGTTTCCGGAGATTTTCGGAAGTGAGACCAGAAACTTTCACCGTTGATGGTTCAGGGGCGCTCACTGTCAAACCTTCTGCAAGCACACAATCCATCAATAATTACGTATGTGTAACCTATAGTAAGAACAAAAGATCAAACCAGGAGCATCCGGGGCATCCGGGTATTTCTCGTCGATAAACTTTCGAATCTTTCCCGTAGCGCGAGCTCGTGCAGTTTGACCAAACCTACAAGGCAGCACAATTTAGTGAAGAAGACAACGCTGCTTCGTCCAAACCAGTCAACTTGATCCACGTCGACCTCAAATTCACACATAAACTCCACGAGCTCTTCCATGTTCTTGGACACAGCTAGAACCTGTGTATTGCAATTTAAACACCGGACATGAACCATGCATATACGGAGAAAGACTCACCAGAGGGAGCACCTCAAAGGAGCTAAACGTATCTAAACAAGACATAAAACACACCACCGCTTTCGCCTCTTCTACATTCCCTTCGCGTATACGTTTGCAAAGGATATCCGCCAGCTTCTTGTTGGTTGTCATGTAGCCCCTCCGATCCTGCACAAACAAGTGAGGTGAACTCGTTTTCGCATCGCCAAAGATGGCGACACTTACTTCCCGGAGTGTTGGCCAGAGTACCCTTGGAAGAGCCGTGAGATAGAGCCGAAAGCCACTCAACAGCTCGCTCAAGTCTACAAAGTCGGGGTCATGGAATCGTTGAGTCCCTTGGCGAGTGATAAGAACCACGTCCAGGCATCCGGGCATCAAGGCCAAGACTCCAGAAAATGCCCCGGATTCGAAAAGTTGGCGCCACGCCGGCTCTTCGTGCCTCTCCCCAATCTCGAACGCTAGGATGGACAGTAGGGCTCACACGTCCGGAAGAGAGCTTGTTGAGGCATGAAGAACTTGCCCTCTTTCGACTTCCAAAGCGGGCTGGGCAGCAAGAGAAACTCGAACACGTTCCCTTTCTTCATGGCATAGCACCGGACCTGTTCTTTTGCATCGGCTAGCGTCGCGTAGGCGAGAGACGTCGGGAAGAAAACGAAGAGGCTCTTCCCGTCAAACGAGCAACAGACCCCAGATTCATCGAGGCTCTTCGAAATAGAATCTTGTACCTTTTTGGACGGTTTTCGAGTGGTGACAAACTCCAGAACCGCATCCTCTTGCGGATCATAGTGCGAAGGGAGACACCAGTTGCCAACGATTTCTAGCCTGAGCCCACGGAAGACTACAGAAGAAACTTTATCGCCTCTCTCGTAGAGCGGTGTCCATGAGAGTTTAGGATAGTATCTGTCCATAGGAAAAAGCAAAAGGCAAAAGGAGGGAGGTGACAACGCAAAGCTTTAGATGCTTGCGGTTTCCAGTGAGTATGCCCAGAACGGCATACGGTGCTGGTTGTCTTCCAGGTTGAGGCGTTGCTTGATCACTACGGTTTCGGGCTTTACAAGGACGCGAAGGACGTGAAGAGGGGCTCTCGTTTGGCGCGAGCGTATCCAGAGAAGTCGGGCTATATCTGGCCGAGAAAAATGGCTGTGAACGCGAATCTTTGCAACCGGCTTTGCTGCTTGCGCCAATCGCTAGCCATGGAAGAGCTTGACAGCTTTCTATAGCTGGTCATGTCTGTACTTTCCTCTGCTTAAAGCTGGCGTACAAACATGTACATACTCATTTTACGTCAAGTAAACGAGAGCTTTAACTTGCCATTGACTGACTGGGTTGACCGGCAGGAAACGCCATGGCTTTTCGTCAACCTTTACATATCCCATGGAGTCGAGGGCCTGTTAGTTGATCGCGTTGACTGGTGCTCGAAGAGACTGACTGGGTTTGGCCAGTCGTCTTAATGATCTTCTCGGAGCTGCCCGGCACAGCTGAGAGATTATTCATGGATATAAAGAAGCTCAAGCCTCTTGCTATTTCCTCGTCCAAATGCCCAGACAGGGTATTTGCGCCATTCAAAACAAGATTTCTCCAATGAGCACTCTCCACTCCTTCGCTTTATTCCGTAGGCTTTGATCATTGCTGTTGATGAGACAACGCTCTCGTCTTGTACGGAGGTAAACACCCTTCGACATGATACTTGTGTCATATGTCTAACATGAGCATAATGACATAGCAAAATCTCATTTTAATGCAATGCCACTTCATTACTTGATTTCGTGGACAAATCTGGCTGTTTCTTGCTAAGGTTTTTTCTTTCACAAGCTTCTTAATTGAAATATTATTTAACAATAGTATATAATAGTATTATAATAATAATTATTATAATACTATTATTATATATAATACTATTATAGTATATAATAGTGCTAGCGAGGAGATCTTTACCCAAATGCGAATGCAAAACATCATTTGCTGCAATGCACTGCTATCGGCATAAGAAAACATTGCAAGATGCTTCAAGAAATGAAATTCACTAAGTGCGCTATCTGCATATGAACACTGGAAGATGCTTCAAGAGACGACAGGAGGAACGCGAGATGGATGGGGTACGAGCTGTCGCTGATAAACTGAGTTGGTGAACTTCATCGTTAGAATGGCTTTCTGTAAGCGGCAAAAGATGTCTACAGTAAAATGCCACAGAGGGATTTGATAGTCTGGAACACCATGCTAGCAACATACACATTGCATGGAGATTTGGCACGGGCAGAAGAAGTTTTTGATGATATGCTAGAGGCAAACAGAAAGTCCATGCTTGACTTAATCTCAAAAGGAAGGATGCGACAGAAATATTCAATTGGATGCCAGAATTGCTAACAGCATACACGCAAAGATCACAGCTTCTCCTAGCCAGAGATCTGTGTCATCGAATATATGCGGGAAGTAAAAATCCCTTTTGATGCCAGAGGACGACTCAACGTCTAAACTACTCCAGAGTGGTGGAGCACTGTGCATTGGAAATGTTTGATACGATGAAAACATTAGATCTAAGTAGTGCTTTAGCTCTATGATGGTCTTGATCCAGACTATTGCTGCGTGATCCATGGTCTGAGCCGTGCTGGGCGTTTGGGTGCTGCTCAAGATCTCATCGCAAGCATGCGTTTCGTGCCAGATGCCTTATGTTTTTCTTGGAAGGAATAACATCAGTGAAGGGTAGGAGTGATGAATCTTTTCAGCTTGGAGCTTATGTGTTGTTTAATCGAAGGCTTTTGCCTGAAATTTGGATCAAACACAATAGTACGTGTGTCGGGAGGACGCTCGCAAGAGCAAAGCTTCCATGTCCTCCAACGCGTCGCGAAAAGGCTTCCTCCATCCATATCCTCGGCGTGGCTGTGCCGGCTATGAACCGAGACAAGCCCATCACGCTCATTCTCCTCGTCTCCCCCGCTGTTAAGTCTGCTTTCTCCATCACCCATCTCCTGAGATCTCTCTTCTAATAGGCAACTTCTCTGCTCGACAGGAACTTCTTCCTTGCCTCGTCGTCAGACTTGCCACCGCTTCCTGCACCAAAACATTAAAAAATGAAACAAGCAAGCAAGGCATACAGTCGGCATTTCCCAGCTTTCGAGATTATTTTCATACTCTCGATCGCCAAGTGTGGCGGGTGGAAAGACACACGTAACCCCACCCTCACCTGGTGACAGAGAGCAAGTCAAAAGCATTAGTCGCTGTTTTCGCTAAGATCAATGGCTAGGGGAATTTTTTTAGACGAAAAGGAATACGCACTCACTCACTCATCAGTCGAAAGGATCGATTCGACGGTCGTGTTCAGTAGCAAGTGCCATTCCTGTGCACAAACAAGTAGGACACATCACCTGCAAATTAGAAAAATGACAGAGAAAACATCAGAAAAAGAAAGGAGACACCAGAAGGAATTAAATAAAGTGTAGCTAGACGCAGGAGGCAGAAACTTCTACCTTCGTCACGCCAAAGCAGTTTGGACATCTCTTACGTTCCATGGATTCCGGCCTCGCTACAGTTCCAGCAGCTGAGCATAGAGCGCACGACAGATAGCCTTGAAACATTGAAAAGCATTGTAGCAATGAAAACCATGACCTCATTGATTGCCATACCAGTTCCATGACAGTACTTGCACCTCTGCTTATCCTGCTGCCGGATGTTATTAGCTTCCACCACCATCAGAGACGATAAGACTCCGACTGCCCCACCCGAAAACGAAGCAACGATTGGATCGACCTGACTATAAAAATCCCAAAGACCACATCAAGCAGCAGCAACAAACCTCCAGTGTCACAAACCTTAGCTGCTCGGGTAAGTGCATCTTGTGAATGAAATCGGTATAGGAGGTAAATCCAACCCCAAGTCGGAGCTCCAGCTTTGGAAAGGAAAACAAGATCTTATCTCTACACAGTATTGAATTTTAGTGCTTACAACAGGAGCTAGAAGGCCACCGAAAAGGATGACTCCACCGCACAAGGCAAAGCAAGTTGCATAGTATAACTTCAACGTCGTGTATGTCTGCCATAGCCAAGCCATTGCTGAGAGGAAATAGAAAAACATAAGAAAGTGTTTGTTTACCAAAGGTGGAAGAAATGGAAACAACGATGAATACTCTGGCAGATCGTTCTCCTCGTCCTCCTCTTCCAGGCCTAGCTCGGCGCCTTTCAATCGCTGCTGGATCCTCAGTCTTCTAACCTGGAAGGAACGTCGAATGGAAAAAAAGGAGCGATCGATCGATGACACACAGGAGCCATTCTGGAAATACCTCCTCCATGAGAAAGAAGATTTTGTTGCGGCGGCTTTTCACGTTGTCCCTGAGCTCCTCGAACTGCATTTTCGCGAGATCGACGACGGTGTCTCGGCTCTCGATGATGCAAAACCCGTTGTTCGAGGAGGAAGAATCATCCGTGAGCGTCGCCCTTACACTGCGGTTGAGCGGCCTTGACCTCGAAATCCACAAAACCGGACGCTCCAGACTCAAGCATCTGAAATTTCTTGCCCAAGAACCACCGAAGCTGCTTACTGCGGGAGAATGCGGGGCCGACATCGACGAGAACATCTCTCCAGCCTCGCATTCCTCGCTAGACGCACCTAGAATCCCTCGGGACGAGCCAAATTTCTGGCGAGAGAACAAACCCTGATTATCAGCTTGTGGAGAGATTTTGGCTCTAGCGACGAGAGAACATACTAGCGGCATATGCTCTTAGGCATATTCCGTCAAAGTGGTGAAAGTTTAAACCCAAAAAGGACCTAAAGACACTTATATTTCTTAAAAGGTAATTATATTTTAAGTGATAATACGGACTTACCTTGTTTGCCAGTTCAAAGGTTTCAATCTCTAGACTTATGTTTCTTAGCTTTCTTTTGGAGCATATCTCTCCAACAGGAGCAGCCTCTCACTCATCGTCTAGAACGTCCTCCAAGAATGCATATATCCTGCCATCCAGAAGCTGCAAAATGCGTTTGTAGAATCTAGGATTGGACGATCCATGCTTTGCTTTGAATTGACCGTTCTTTCCTCTGCAATGAGAGCTGGCAGTGATTAGAAACGTTCTAGAACCTTTCAGCTTTTCAAGGTTCATACCTTTGCCCCACCCAGAATGAGTGGATCGCCACTTCTCACAGCTTTAGTTGACGGTTAATAGCCTAGGACGGGACTTGGGCTCTGTCGACTCCTTGCATTCCTGGCACTCAAAATCATGCTGTCTGCAAATCTCACTCCCTCCAGCAACATATGGAGGCCTCACAATTGGCGTTGGATTGTAGCTGACGCAATTCTGGTGGTACCACAGCATGCAAATGTCATAACAAGTTCACGTATCTTGAATCTTGCTTGCATTTCAACCATACATCCCCTGCAGCCAAACCATATGACTTCATGAGTTGCACATCCTAGAGGTACCATGATGAAAACCTACCTTCTGTTCCTTACAAATGTGCCAAAGTTGAATTGATAACACCTAGTTTCTCACTCACACAAGCAAAAGGCATTTTGACGAAGAAGTGAGTGAGACCCTGGTGTACTGCCAAAGTTACCACCTGAGAAGAGTATTTAACTCCTGGAATCACCCATATCAAAAGAATTGTGTTTCTTCCTGGCAGCTGAAAACAGCTTTTCAGCCTTCTTGACTGTGTGATAGTGGCGTTCTTAGGCTCTTTATAACAGATGCCAGCCAGGTGACTATCATGTCTGAGAACTCAAGATAGAATTCCAAACAAGTGTGGCAAAATATGGCAGAAACATGCATGGAAGAGGCTTCTCACATGCCTTCAGATTGAGACAAATCAGGATCAAGTACTGCACTAGTGGACAGAACAAGAAGCCCTAATGTCTATGTGGCAACACTCCGGCTAGCATGTCCAGATGTTGGACTGATAGGGTGCCACTGTCAACCAGCTCAAGCACATAGCAAAATTGCACTTCAATGTGCTTTGTGCAAGTATGCTGGATCGGGTTCTTGGACATGGTGATGCTGCTCAAGTTGTCACACCAAGAAGGAGTAAGGCTAGCTTGTGCACATCCCAGTTGAGCAAGTAGCCCTTGAGCCCAGACCACTTCCCTACTACCAATAGTGAGTGTGATGCACTTAGCTTTTGCACTAGAAAGTGCCACAATAGATTGTCACTTGGAAGCCCACATAATAACACCTCTTGAGAAGCAAAGGCAAATGCTAGAAGTCAAGTGATGGCCTTTATTATTAGCAAGCATGTCAATGGTGAATTGCCTCTTGAATAAGAAATGCCATAGTCCATAGTGCCTTAGAGGTATTGGATGATATGCTTGGCAGCTTGACAATGCATGGTGGTTAGTGATGTGTTATATAGACACAAGGTGATAGTCACATTGGGGCAAGTCATCAATGCCAAATACATGAGGCAATTGATGAGATGTTAATAGGGAGTCCCAACGGGTAAAGGCACACTTGACTGCTCAACCATGAGATTGATGGCATTGATAACCATCAAGGTCTTGACAAGGTGGCAATCATGCATACAAAATTGATAAAGATTGACCTTATGTCAGTAGTTAAGCATGTAGCCACTAGACTCTACACTAGACTTGGGATTGCATGTGATCTTAAAGCCAAAAAAGTAAGAGACTTGGCCAAGGTCCTTCATCTAAAATTGCTGGCTATAAGTAGCTTTCAAAGTAGCAATGGCATAAGGGTCATCACCTATGATGAACACATGATAAACATGCTCCCAACATGACCATTCACATATATATTGCAATCATGGCAACAATGAAAGCCCTAGGCATGTAAGGTAGTATTAAATTTTTGACCAAATGCAAGAAAGCCATATAAAGCTTTTCACAGTTGCCATTTAGCTTCACTAGGGCAATATCATCCTCAAAATTAAAAAGTATATGCATATATATATCTTTTTGCAAATCTCTATTCAAGAATATTGTTTTGACATCCATATAATGGACTTGCCATTTGCAAGTAGCCAGAAGTGCAAAAGGGGTACAAAAGCTGGCTCATTTAGCAACTAGTGTATTTCATTGTAGTCAAGGGCATGGACTTAGCAAAAGCCATGAACAACTAATTATGTTTTATAATATACTACTTGGCCCATAATTTTTGGAAAAAATCCACTTTGGATTCAAAATATGTCATCCCAATAGTGTTGAATCCACTTGAATATATATGTCATTAATTTCAATGGAAATAACTTAGCTTCTATTCAAAACAGAGCCTAAGATGGCCTTATCATAAGTGATGAGAATGTTGGCATAAAAAAAACCACAAAAATTATTAAGTTTCATAGCATTTGTTTTAGCATTTTCAATAATGGTTAACTTCTTGAATTTTAAATTCTCAAAAGGTCACCCATCATAATATTAAAACCAAAAATATTTAACTCTATATTTCCTAAGATCTTTAATCGATTAGAAAAAGGGGTGCATTTTTATTCATGTGCACATTCCTTTTATATTTTAACCCCAATAGACTGTTTTTTAAGTTGTTTTAATTATTTATAATTTTTCACACTTTTTTACAAATTCATGCCTTCATAAATGAAAGTTAAGAGATGTAGCTCTTTTATGAGTTTAAATAATTTTTTCTTTAAGGGTGATTAGGAATTAGCATCATATCAAGTATGCTATAACATTGACAAAAGTGGTAAAGATATTAGAGTCCTATCCTCAACTAAAGGAGCATCAATTGATTCAAATATGTTTAAAGGATTCCTCTAGGGAAACTTTAATGATAACAAATGAATAAAATCCATGGGTAAAAGTAAGAGTGGATTGTCTCCTATAAGTGGAATTAAAGGAACAAATCAAGCCTTAATAAAAAAAATATTTTGAAGAGTGGAATTGTTAAATGTGATATCTATATTTATAAAGGCTTTGCAAGATAATTTATAAGTTTTTCTCCCCATAGTATCATTTTGTGCATATTTTATGAAGATGAATTTTTACTTTTAGGAACTAATTTTTTCTAAAGTTGATTAGGGTATGCATATACACTACACAACCAAAGTCCCAAAAAAGCATGATACATTAGGAGTAGAGTTTAGTTAAAATATTTTAAAGATTTTATTATTCAAAGAAATTGTGGTAAAGTGATTTTAAGCATATATCATTGTGCCTATGGCCTCTTGGTAAAATGTTTTATCAAAATATATATTAGTTAACAAAGTGCAAGTAACATTGACAAAAATGTGATTTTTCTTTTTTGCAACACCATTTTGCTAAGGAGTGTAATAAGCTGTAGTTTGAAGTTATATATCTATATCATAATAAATGCTCCAAAGTTAATTGTTGAGGCATTCACCACCACCATCAATGTAAAAAAAATTATTTTATAGCTAAAAAGATTTTCAATATAGGCCTTGAAAATAACAACTCTTACATATCAAAAAATAGATCCATATCTAATGATTATAATCATTATTGAATATGATAAAATATTTCACACTGTCATGGCTTAAAACATTTATAGGGTTGCAAAGATTTGAATAAACCATGTCCAAAAGTCTAGTTATTCAATGTTTATTTAGTGAGAAATTTTAGTGATGATGTTTGCTTAGAATGCAAGTTTCACAAAAAATAAATGAAATACGCTGAAAAACTAATTCAATAACAATGTCTTGAGATTTCATTTATTGAAGAGATTGGTAATACATATGACCAAGTCTTTTGTGTTAAAGCTTAACATAAGAATTTATTTCCACAATTTGAAAGGCTTAAATTGAGTAGGTAATGATAATTTTATACAAGTCTCCTATGCATTACTCATGAAGTAATTATGTACTAAGCATATTAAAGTCATTAAAGTTAACCAAAGATACTTCTTTTGTATTAAAGATTATCATTATATTTTGATACATATTTTAGTGATCGAAATTATATTTTATCGCAAAGTGGCACCATCAAATGCTATAATCCTCTCATGATCAAATAAAAGTTAAAATTGTTTAATGCCTTCCATAAGGATAATGGTATTATTGCTTAATTGAACATTATATTTCCAATGTAATACTAAAAAAGACGCTTCTTATTGCCAATAAAAATAGTACAACCAAAATCTAAGAGTCACCTACTTAGTGTTGCAACTACCTCTATATTGTAGAGTCCTTATTAACCTCATTTTCCATGGTAATTTCATTGCTCTTGAACAAATTAGTTTTCACTGTAGTAACCAGTCATTTGACAAACTTTAGAAAAGTATAATCTTAAATTTAATAGCCCATTTCCAAGTAACGAGTGCATTGATTTTTGACAAATTTAAGCTTCACATCCTCAAATGCCTCAGAATTTTACCCTTTCTAGGCATTATTTGTTAAATATAGTTTTGCCACCTTGGCATCACTAGGAACTTGTAAAGCATATATAACCTATAGCATTTCTATTTTATCACTCCATATAGCATTAATATTGAAAAGACTCCTGATATGCTTTATTTCGTTAAAGTGGGACTTTTCATTATCCCACTTATGGTGTGTGGCCACATGCCATTTTTATAACAACAATAAAAAATTGAAGTTTTAACTTTATAATTTATAAATTAAAAACTTTTCATATGATTTTGTGTTATAATATTGTGAAATATAAAAAAATAAATTAAAAAACTGATAGAAATATTAATAAATATTAATTAAGTACTAGGAAATGGCATGTGGACACATGCTAATAAATGTC